ATATACAAAAATTTATTTTTTTTTTTATATATATACATAAATAGATATATAGTGAGAATATTTATAAAATATATTGTCACACGTATGAGTGTATATATATATATATATATATATATATATATATATATATATATATATATATATATATATATAATATATTGATATTGATATTTTCTCGGATATTGAAAATACTGTCAAATTCATTTAATCAAATAATGAACTACGGTCTATCATAAGAAATAAATATTATTAAGGATTGTTGTGATGATTTTAATATAAGGGCGAATGACAAAAAAACCCATCATATGGGACTTAAATGCATTTTAGTACAAAAAAAACAGTCTCTCTATTAAACTCATCCCCATGTCTTTAGTCTAAAATACCCTACATAAAATAATTCTTATCAATTCCACCCATTATTCTCTAACTTCATTAATATTACACATTGACCCCGAATTTAAACAAATATATCACATTAACCCCCCAAAATATTTTTTTTCAGAAAATAATTTTTTTTCTGAAATGTTTTTTTTTCCGGCCAAATTCCGGCGTTGACTTTTTCTTTTTTTTTTCTTTGAAATTTTTTTTTTTCCTAAAATTTTTTTCCGGCCGGTCAACCACCGTTGACCGTCGGTCTCCGGCGTTGATTAATATTACTATCTTGACTACTAAATTACTGTCTCAGACAGTAATATTACTGTCTCAGACAGTAATATTACTGTCTCAGACAGTAATATTACTGTCTGGGACAGTAATATTATGAATATTATTTTCCCGAACAGTTATATTATTAATATTATTGTCTAAGACAGTTAAATTACTGTTGGAGACAGTAATTTAGCAGCCAAGGCAGTAATATTAATTAAAATAATTTTTTTTAAGAAAAAAAAAAAGTCTATTAACAGTTAAATTACTGTCTCTGACAGTTAAATAACTGCTGGAGACAGTAATTTAGCAACGAATACAGTAGTATTAATTAAAAATATTTTTTTTTAAGAATAGAAAAAGTCAATTAACAGTTAAATTACTGTCTCCGACAGTTAAATAACTGCTGGAGATAGTAATTTAGCAACGAATACAGTAATATTAATTATAATATTTTAAAAAAAATCAATTAACAGTTAAATTACTCTCTCCGACAGTCAAATAACTGTTGGAGACAGTAATTTAGTAGCAAAGACAATAATATTAATTAAAATATTTTTGAAGGAAAAAAAAAGTCAATTTACAGTTAAATTACTGTCTCCGACAGTTAAATAACTGCCGGAGATAGTAATTTAGCAGCCATAACAGTAATATTAATTAAAATATTTTTTTTAACAAAAAACAAAATTATAAAAAAAAAAAAAAAAAGTCAACGCCGGAGACCGCGGTCAACGGCTGTTCACCGGCCGGAAAAAAATTATGTGGAAAAAAAGTTTTTCAAAACAAAAAAAAAAAGTCAACGCCGGAGACCGGCGGTCTCGGTGGTGGCGGGTCAAAATTGAAATTATGGTTAAAATTGGTTAATTAATGAAATTTGGCTAAATTGGGGGTGTAAATCATGAAATTGTAGTTGAATTGGGTTTTAATGAATTAGAAGTAATTTTGGTATATATAAAGGGATTTTCCTTATTTGCAAATAAATTTGAATGAGCTGGATTTTTTTGAAAGACAAAAAAGTTGGATGTCCCTCTTTTAATTAAGTGTCCTTGTCATGGGTCTATTTGCCATTTACCCTTAATATAATTAATAATTTCATAAGAAGTCAAATTATTTAAAACATTAGATAGATATAATATTAATAATATTTTAATTATACTATTTAGGTTATCCTTGCTTGAGTACTCATTGCTTATCTTTTCAGTAAGGTGCAATTTTTTTCTGAATTTTAGAAGTCGGTCAATATGTATTTGCAATCTCTTTAGGTAGGAGATTGCTTCATGTGCATATGATGTTGTAAATAGGTCAATAGGTTGGTGAAGATTTCATTTCTATTTGTCATAATACTTCAATCGTTTTTATTCAGATGGTTATTATGTCGGCATACGATCGATAACAAGTTTATCTAAGTTGAGGAAGTACATTTTTACTTTTTGGGGGAAAATACTAAATTTCTAATGTATTGTGACTCAATTTCATAAAACATTTAAACTTTGAGTATTAGAATGGGTTTATTATTATTAGTATTAGTATGAGTATTAGTATTAGCATTAGTATATATTAATATTAGTATTAATAATAGTTGAGTATTTGCATTAGTATTAGTATTAATATTAGTATTAGTATTAGTATTAGTATTAGTATTAGTATTAGTATCAGTATTAGTATTAGTATTAGTAT